TGTCTCTCTCTGGTGAGTATACATGCCCTGTGCCACAAATGCTAAACTAAATATGTATTTTTAAAATGACAAAGGGAGTTTTTTCAATTTACAGCTTACAAAAGAAACACATTAGAAATCATAGACTGAATGGCAAATTGTAATTTGTAATTACAAATGTGTACCTTGTAATTGTGATCCACTCAACAACTAAGCCTGTGAGTGACAAGACTGACTGTTCTTCTAGGGCCACCTGAAGAACGTATTCCTCCAGTAGAACAAAACCAAATCAGGCAAAAGCATTAGCTAAGGAAGATTACAAATGCTTCAACCACTTTAAGGGAATTTCATTTCAAAGTTGAATCCTTGCCAAGAGATAGTTATGAATAAGTTTAAGTCTTAGTGAGGTGTCATGGAACTTTTAATGACCATTAGATATCAACAGCAGCACTTTCGGGTTACTTGATTAAAAATCACTGTTGGGCAATGTCTGAGCCACCACTTGAGAAACAGTGTTCACTCGACATTTGACATCAATTCCCTGAATAATTTTTTAGTCTTAAGTGAGATAGAAAATATTAGTTGCATTTAAATTCTAGGCCTTCAAGCAAAGTTGTATATCATGTTATCCCATAAGAAAACATTCTCCATGGGGACCAGCAGTTAGCGTAATGGCTATGTCGCTGGCCTCCCATGTAGTCTACTGCAGTTCGCATCCCAGACCCGGTGGCTTAAATCTCACACCAGGCGTGTGTGCATGCGTGCCCAAGATCCCGAGAGGAGAGCAGAGGAGAAGGGATTGTGGCATGGCCATCCCCCCTGGAGGTGATTTCTCGCTTTCTGTCTTTCTGTCTCTCTGTCTGGTGAGCACAGCCCCCCTAAAGCAAAAACCTCTAAAAAAAAAAAAAATAAAATTCTCCATGAATTTATCTTATAGTTACCAGGCATAGACTGCTTGGAAATCAGCTATTATCTACTGGGTTGTCAGAAAAGTCATGACAAATTTTGCATAGAAAACAAGTCATGACTTTTCTGATGATCCAACATAAATGAACCATGAGATCCGATGAAGGGGCTTCAGATAGTTCATGAAAAATTAAAGTATGAGTTTATCTTGGTGTAAAAACATTTTTGAAGTGAGCCAGATGTTGGTACAACAGTAAAATGTTATGTTCTGTGATGCAATCTCACATGGAAAGTTTCCCAGTTCAAGTCCAGAGACCTCCCTGAGTACATTATCATGTTTGTCCATGGTCTAGGGCTGACTGAAGGCTAGGACAGAACATGGAATCGGGACCCTGCCGAGGTACTGCCTTTCTTGCTCACTAACTTTTACTGAGAAAATTAATTTTTTAAAATATATGCATATTTTTATGAATATATTTTGCATAAACTTTTGAAAACCAATTGTATATAGCTTAATTGCCCAATAATATTTAAGTGCTTTGTGAATACAAATTCACTCATTCCATTTTTTAAAGGATTATTTTATTTAACTTTATTTATTCATTTTAATTTGACCAGAGAGGGACAGTGTGTGTGGGGGGAGGGGTGGGGGAGGGAGTGGAAAAATAAGCTGCCAGGTCTGGGACTCAAACCGAGGTCAGCCAAGTGGGAGTCCAGCACCCTTAACCACCACACCACCTGCTGGCACCCCACTCATTCAATAGTTACAACAACCCTATAAAGTGGTTTCTACTATTTCATTCTATTAATATTGCCAGTGAGTTTACAGGCACAGGAGGAGGGCTGGGGAGTGTGACTTCTCCAAGACCTGAGTAGATGGTGGGACAGGAATCAAACTGAGGACCCAGAATCCAGAACTTGTGCTTGTCACCCCAGGCTCCCTCAGCCACTCCATGCCATGCCAAGCCAAAGATGCTACTCGGTTGCACTCAATAATTCCAAAGGTTCCTTATTAACTTTTCATATTTTTTGCTAGTAAATATACATAATTTCTCTATATATGATTTTATTAAACTAGAACCTCTTTAAATACTGATATAATGCTAGTAAGTTCCCATTTTTTTCCCTAAAACTTTCTTATTCTAACCAAAATCATTCCTTGACAGATTTGACCATCACAGACTGTTAACATTAAAAGGAATCTTAGATTAGATGGTCCAATTCATTTACTTGAATCTCTAAAAACAATTTGTCTTGCAAGGCTAAAAATCACAAATACAACTGAGAAATACTGATGGTTCAGTAAAAACTAATCAAGTAACAAATACTGATTGAACACATGTAATATTAAAAAAAAATTACAAACTATGTTAGGCATCATAGACACATGCAATCAAGTTCCCTTCTAAGTAGTGTTATAATTTATTTCAACAAAACACTTGGAGGGATCAGCAGTTAGCGTAATGGCATGTCACTGACTCCCATGTAGTCGAACATGGTTTGAGTCCTGGACCCAGTGGCTTAAAACTCACATCACGTCAGGCGCATGTGCGTGTGTGCCCAAGATCCCAAGAGGAGAATGGAAGAGAAGGGATTGCAATGTGGCCATCCCCTCGGGGGATGATTTCTGGCTTTTTGTCTCTCTGTCTCTGTCTGGGGAGTGCACGCGTCCTATAGCAAAAACCTCTCCTAAAAAAAGATGGAAAGTTACACATAGCAATGGAGTAAGATCTCTTAAGAAAATAAGTACATTTAGTCTTTATAAATTGTGTAATAAAACAGCATGGTGCTGACATTAAAAAAGCCCTACAGATCAATGGAACACAACAGAGAATCCAGAAATAAACCCCAAGTCATACAGTAAACTGATATTTGACAGAATATTTTGGAGAAAACAAAGTCTTTTCAGCAAATGGTGCTGGAAGAATGAGATATCCACCTTCAGAAAAATAAAACTAAACCCTTATCTCTCACTATTAATAAGAATCAACTCGGGACCAGCAGTTGGCGTAATGGCTTTGTTGCTAGACTCCCACGTAGTTGACTGTGGTTTGAGTTCTGGACCCGGCGGGTTAAATTCACGCCGGGCGTGTGTGCGTGCATGCCCAAGATCGCAAGAGGAGAAAGGAGAAGGGATTGCGGCGTGCCATCCCTCCAGGAGTTATTTCTCACTTCTTGTCTGTGTCTCTCTCTGTCCTTCTGGTGAGCACACGCGCCCTATAGCAAAAACCTCCCCAAAAAATAAAAATAAAAAAAAAAGAAGAATCAACTCAATGAATCAAAGACGTAAATATAAAGCCTCAAAAAACAAACTACTGGTAGAAAACCTAGGAGACGGCTTTGAAGACACTGGAGTATACAAAGATTTCTTAAATAAGAACTCTAAAGCACAGGAAATAGTCCCCCAAATAGAAAAAGTGGAATTATAATAAGCTAAAATGCTTTTTCATAGCAAAGAAAAAAATAATTAGAATGAAAAAACAACCCTCAGAATAGGAGAAAAGCTTTGCAAATTATTCCTCAGACAAGGAATTGATATCCAAAATATATAGGGAACTCAAGCAGCTCACCCATAAAAAAATTAATAATTCAATGAAAAAAAATGGGCAAATGAATTGAAAAGACAATTCACTAAGGAAGACTTAGGAATGGACAAGAGGCATTTGAGAAAAAAAAAGTTCAAATTCTCTAATCA